TGTCACGAATGTACAACCAAAACAACATCCACATTCAAAACTGCTCTTTGGTGTTCAATTCACAAACACATTTACACTGTCTGCCCTCCCACTGATAGTAAGCGCATCAAAAATTGATCTGTGCATCGCCAAATGTCAATCGTGCCACAGCATTTCATCAAAAAGGAATGACTTCTTGTCATGTTATCGCTGTAAACTGCTCTGTAGAAAGTAGAAGCAGGATCTCATGGACTGTTCACCGACCATCAATGGATGTTGACAAAAATGGCCGCTTTTGAGAATCACAAGTTCCACTCTGATTGGCTGACTGCTATGCAAGTTTTAGCAGTCAGGGTGTACCAAGTTCATCAATCAAAAAAAGATCAATCTTTCAAATTTGTAACAGTCAACACTAATCTATGTGGTAAATGCTTGGCATTTATATAAGATGTAATTGTCAGATGATAAATGAAAATTTTTACACTAACCTATGCTCAAGAACACATAATATTCTGTGATCCCACAGCCGCATAATCTAAAGACTTAAAATCAAGCACACAGTCTCAAAAATACCAAAGGAATCCTTCCCAGAGTCCTCGTGGTAGCCTGTTTCAGGACGTTTCTCTTTCAGGAATGGTTGTACTGAGCTCCACTATGAAAAAACATGACATAGTTTTATTTATAAAACAGATAGTTCCGGTCCTTGATTCTGATTGGTTGAGCCGCGTTCGAAGCTGTTGTAAATTACTCTACAAACATACACCTTTGTTTACTTTGTGTGTTGTTTGGCAACCACTTTGTTGCAAGCACAACTGTTTCTAAGGGACTACATTGTTTGGTGGAAGAATACTGTTTTTATTAATATCATTACACTTTATTTGCTCCGTTTTATTTTGGAAAACCTTACTACGTATATGGAATAACCGTTTTATAAAAGCAATAAGCCCCGTGAAGCCGTGGTTTACAGTGAATTTATAACAGCTAAGGGGGTTTTAGGCACTCCGCTTCGTGTTGTGCCTAACAACGCCCCTTAGCTGTTATAAATTCACTGTAAACCACGGCTTCTTGGGGCTTATTACTTTATTAATTACACACTAAAATTAGTACTTACGAGTTTGTGTGCAGATATTCAAAGGTGAGCTGAGCTCGGTTTAGTGAGCTGTAATTTGTGTAGGCCATCGTCTCAAAATAAAACTAAATTAAAACAACGAGAAAACCAGCTGATTGTATTCACGTCTCGTCTCTACATTCTTCTCATACGATGAGAATCAAGTGTGATTGTTCAGCACCTAGAAAACAAGAAACAAACATGTCAGTACAATCCATCCATAGATCCATTGCAAAACTGTAGTATACCACCTGTTGACCAACTCCTTAGAAAATTGAATATTAACATACAGCTTACTGTGACTTATACTTTTTATAAATAGTAAGTGACAACAGTAGGTAATACGCAACAGTACAAACGTTTCAAGCAGTAGTGTGCTACGTTACGGCTATGATGATCACATGTGGCGTCAAGCGACAGTTTTTGGAAAAATGTGCATTTTTAATTCAATTTTGAGTAAAAAATTATCTTTACTTGAGGCTGTCAAATTAATAAGTCAAAATAGAGATAGTAAAAAAAATGGTAATTACTTCCAATGCATTCAAGTGCAATGCATTGTGGAGATCCATACAGTGTGTTATGTTGTATACTGCATTTTGGCAAATGTATTTGAATACTGTGCCTAGTATACATACTACATATCACAGAAACTGTAAAGTAGTATGTTATATGAAGAATAGCCTCAAACTGAACAGAGAAAAACTCAGTATTCGAAACCTTATGAAACTACAACATTTGCCATTCTGTGTGCTTTTCTATCTCTTGTCATATTAAACAGTTAGTCACTGTAAATTGTGTGGCTTTTTAATATATTTTCTTATTTGTAGGCATGCATGATGCATTCGTTGGAACATTTACAGACTTCTGCCTTTTAAAATGATAATGCATGTTTTCTTTTTCTGGGCTAAATAATTAATTATACAGGTGAGCTCATAAATGGGCTGTCTCTGAGGGACATTTTATTGTCCGTCCTTGAAGTGACTAAATTCACACAGAAACACACGCCAGGCCAGCCCATGCTGCAAGGCCCTTAAGATCCATGCAACAGCAGAGACTGGTGATCTGCTAACACTTTCATTCACTAAGCGCTCAAATTAGCATCTAGGCTGTCGAATGTAACTCCTGACTCATGCAATAAAGCATGCACAGGAGCACTGGACAAATAACTGCGGCCTGCCCATAAACAACCGTCTACATTTACAAAACCAGCAGCCTTTGTACAGTAACACAAGCAATAATGTGATTTCAATAATGCAAACCATTCCGCGACCTCCGTTTGATTTTATCCAAAGGTTTCTGCCTGTTGCATGAGGAAAACTACCAAACAGAACGTGTTTATTCCTTTTTCGTTCATAGAAAGTAGATGCAAGGCCTCGAATCGCTCCAGCAGATTTTTCCCTCGAACAAACACGCACAAGCAACGAGACAGCATGCCCCGCCCTCCTCGCCGCGCTCAGCCAATCGTGTTGCCCGCTGCGTCATTACACGCGTCTGATTAGTTGAAGTCGCCGTCGTTTAACGTAAAGCAGGAAGTAAGTTTGCTGGTCCATGAAGGAATGTGGCGTGGAAAAACGCGGGGAGGCAATCGCGCTAAAGCACAAAACGACTAATCTATAAGCTGACCTGCCGCTATTGGTTTTTAAAATCATATAAAAGGTAATAATGATACGACAACATTTATGTAATATAAAACCATGAGGTCGCGTTTTGTCATTTAAGTTGATTTACTAGTACATATAGTTTTGTGGTTTAAGTTGTACAGTCTAAGCGTTTTAGCAAAACGTTTTTGGTAAAAGTGAATTCTGACGATGAAAGCTGTCCATGTAATGGACGAAGGGGACAAAATGTCTGCCATCTCTTCTGAACATAAAAGCTGTTGGATCTCTTCAAACAGATACCATTAACTGATTTCGAAGTGTTGTAATGTTTTTATACTACAACTGAAATTGGTGAGAAATCACACCTGTTTGTGTGAATAGACTCTGAAAGGTGCAACGAAAAAAAAAATGTGTCGGTAGCGGCCCGCACTTTTTAGCCAATAAGAAAACACTGGCTGCTTTTTTACATGTTAGGATTGGCTGATGTTTCTCTGGGGGCGGGGTTTGAAGAATGTGTTGTAGATTGGA